AGTGCCGGTAGCAACAAAAACTACGGGGAACCATGCAAAAAACGCATCTTCGCACGGGCAGCCCGTCAGTTGGCCAATTTTTTTCTACTCGTAAGATACAAGGATATGTAAGACTTACCGGTGATTGCTATCCCCACAAATTGTTCGCTTTGGTTAATGAATATGCTTCAGTAATGTCTCGCTAAGTGGTACTTGTCATAAAAAGGACCAATCCACGAAGCCTTCAAAGAGAGAGCGAGCAACATGTAGGCATGAAGCCTTTAAAAGCTGCGGACGCATTCCAGTGACATCGAGGGCTACACGCTGACAATCCGGACAAAATTAAGGCACAAAAATGTATGCAAACTCGGTACCTCGCCCCATCTGACATAAAACTCGGCCAACTGATAAAACTGCTTTCTTTCGTAGAGCTGCTCCATCACTCCCTTCATCCCCAACGTGCGGCTGAATCTCCCCTAAATGTTTCATTTCATATAATGGTACACAATAGAAATCAGCGACATGCTCATGCCAAAGACAAATATCTTCAATTAGAAGCATGTTGTTTCAGTCCAGTGAAAATCTCTACCAAAAAATGAAGGCTATCTCTCTCTCTCTCCTGTCCTGATGAAGGTGGAAAGGACAGAAATTTTTATTGTGCGGAAAGAAAACGAAAGGTAACAGAAATAGAATAGGTAAATTTACTGCAAAAACACTTTAGAAATGCGCAAAAATTCGACCAAACAGGGAAGAGTCAGAGAAACAGATACAAAAATAAGAACTTTCAAGAACAGGAACTTCGGCCGAAAATTTTCGTTGTCGTGAGCAGCCAAGAACCGGAGGATCGTGAACCGCCAAAAAAAGGATATCCTTCCCGATCTCAAACACCTTTCCACCCCTCTTTTACTATCCAGTGACTTACAATAATGCAGAAAACATCCAGCAGTCGCTCGTCGTGATAAAACGGATTGTCGTCCTCGGAGTATCGTGTCACTGTGTCCATGGTTGCTTTCCGTAGTCGCTGCATACTCCGCTCGTCTTCGCAATTTTCCTCCATCCATTTCAGTTGACTACAATCAAAGACACCTACTGATCGAAAAAGTCCTAC